TATCTAAATAAATAGATAAAAAGAAAAAATCCCATCCCTAAGACACCCGAAAGTAAAACCGGGGTGGACCCCTCTATTTGGGGGGAATTAATCTTCCTCCTTATAACAAAACTTAAAAGTTTGGGGTGGTTCTTTTCCAATATGTGCCCCACCGAAACTGAACATCGTCCCGAAAGAGACTCAAAAAATAAATTATCCTTTCTAAAACAAAAAGAAAAGTTAAAGTGGGGCCAATAAACACCCTTTTTTCGGACAACAACAAAACCAAAAAATGCCCCTTTTCCGAAATAAAAAAGGAAGGAGAACCCAAAGAAAGTTTCCCTTTGGGACCCCCGTCCGGAGGGGTTTCAGGGGAGAACCTCGGGTTGAAAATTTGTTTCGTAAAAATAGCTTTTCCCCGGTACCCCCCTTGATTGGTCCTAGTAAAAAAGAACGTCCTCCTACCCCTGCTCCTGGTCCTGGCCTTACAACAAAATACCACCCCGACCCGGGTATTGCTGGTTACAAAGGAAGAAAGGGGTAACCCTTGTAATTTTTGTGAAAGGTGTGTGTACCCGGGGTTGGGGGTAGGGTTCAGTCCCCCGGTTAGCGGAGACAAAATTTTCAGGTTCACAGTAATTTTGTTAATAAAAAGTATGTTTTAAAGACCCGAAAGGAGGGAAAGAGGAGCGTTTTTTTTTTGGTTTTCCCCAAAAGTGTCCCACGAGAAATTTGTACCGAGGTTTTCGACACGTACAGTAACAGGCACAGTATTGTTCAGTAAACGTAACTAATGACCGGCAGGTGGACCAAACTGTTCCCACACAGTAGGGGGGGTTTTCTTCATGAATAAACGATTTGACAACACACAGAGAGGGTGCAACTGTATGTAGACACGGTTACTTTTCGACGTTATTGTACACAACAAAAAATGGATTAACGATGAGACGGGGATGCATATGTACTTCGCTACCACCACTTCCACTATAAGTGCGTTAGAGCGCCCTGGGTGGTAACATCTTTTTTTTACCCAACTGACTATTTTGACTAAAAGAAACATACCCGGACCACCTCCCTCAATTAGCCAGGATTCTTACGCTGCTAACCTCTGGGAGGGGGGGGGGCACTGTACTGTACTGTACTGTAGTAGTGCTGAGTGTGTGTGTTATACTGTACAGGAGGAGACTGGTGCACTTATTTAAAACAGAGGCCCATCTCATCTGATGCTCACTTTAAATCTAAATGATGAAAACGGATCTATCCATACAGTATATATCTATATCTATATAAGCTAATATCAGCCAGGCCAATTATAGCGTTTCTATATTATCCATGATGATCATCAGGGATACTTTTTACATTTAGAAAATCTCCCTCCAGTTCCAGAGAAGACAGACTACTACTGATGAGTAAACTAAAACTAAATATATTGAAAAACACAGTGTCCCTTTAATTACATTCTGCATAAAGTGTCAAAATGATCCATTAACCGCATCATCTCAGGTTAAGCCCTGACCTGACCCGTTAATATAGGTATTACGATTAAACACACTTGCTGCGTTTTAATCAAACCCTGTAGAATGATTGATATTTACTCTGGTTAGATTGGGGAGAATGTACCCTTTTTGCCCGATACCACTGTCAAGGATAGTGATTGAGAGTTTGTGCAATCAGGGGAGGCAGTCCTTCACAATATGGCTGCTGATTACGCTTAATAACATTAGCTGATCCAGTTGTTAAACATCCTGCACCATTATTTTAATTCGACTTATCTCTAGAAAAACAACATATTTCTTGTTGTCTGTCCACATTTAGTTAATTTTTACACGTGCCTATGAATTAATATAAATGTATGTTATACCCGTTACACACGTTTGCAGATACCCCACCAGATGCAGGACTGTAGTATTGGTTATTCTGGTGATTAACCAACTTCGAAATACAAGTGAACCTGTGTGCACATACTTTGTGAGCTAATATTTGTAAACGACCTGGAACTTATCTAGCTTGCTAGCTTTTCTAAAACTCTAGATCATAAACTCTGTACGTGTGTCTGAACACGGAGCAGCACCCAGTCTCCTGCTGTGCTCTGTTTGTTATTAAGCTGATGTTTATTTTGCTAAAACACACACACTCACTCTTCCGTTCTGTTTGTGTGCATTTCCATGCAAACACCATCACAACACCTCTGTGAAACAAGTCAAGGCAGCTGTGCTCAGAATGGCTGTGCATGTGTGTGTGTGAGGAAACATCTGTAACACACATCAAATGTATAAAGTCATCCCATTCTCCACAGCAATGCTGGCTCCTGCCAATAGTGGCTTTATGTGTATTTCAGTTTGCCAGAGGTGTATCAAAACAGTGTGTGTGTTTGTTGTGAAACCGTCTGTAAGTAAACCAAATATCATTTTCACTATGCAGTCATTCAAAGCATGTCAGCTTGCTCCCATGGGGGGAGAGATCCTCCTGTTCATTCACAGATTTACGAACAAACTGGAGTTAGCTACACTTTGTTTTTGAGCCCCGCCCCCTCGCAGTGTGATTAAACAGCGCCTTCAGCTAAAGAGTAGAGGGAGAGCGAGAGATGTGTTGTGA